CCTAGTTCAAACCTTCACATTTCCATGCAGAGGAGAACTGCCTTTGCGGCTGAGATATTGCCACAAAATGAAAAAAATAAAATAAATGGACATACTTGTCAGCAATGTCTGCTCTAGCTTCATGTTGGTGGGGTTCTAACAACTGTACTCCAATCATTAAACTTTATCTCATGAGAAGTAAATTAGTCTTGTTCCTCAATCTGTTTTTGGCTATACAACTCTTCTGTGAGGCTAATCAAAATGTTTAATGTTTTGCCCCTCTTTCATTTTACTCGTGTTCACAAATTTTCTTGTATGGCTTTGTTCCCTGGGTTTTAATCTCCATGTTTAGATCCCTTGCAAATGGATAAAGATATAGATGTTTAGGTTGCTATTCCTAAAGTTGATGCCTGTTTTTATTGAGAGCTCTATTTTCATATGCATCCATATGCTCATGGGTGCATATTTGATATTCATCTAGTGTAGCTGATTTATTTAAGTTAAATGAAGGCAATTACCTACATTGCATAAAGGAGACAAGGGATTTTTGAAATCAAAGGTTGGATGTAATGTTTTTTGAAGTGCAATGGAGTGGACATTCATGTGAGAAGCTGGACTTCCTCCTCTCTTACTCCTCCTTGCAGCCTTCAGCACATGCCCCAAATCTTCTCTAGAAAGACCTCCAACCCTCCAGAGAATTTGCAGGACACAAAAATCTACGAGGGGAAATGAGGACATCCATCATTAGCAGTTTCTGGTCGGTTAGTGAATGAGCAATGCTGCATTGAACCCAAGTGAATATGAGAGTTGTAAGCAATTTCACTTCCAGCCCTCACAAAAAAGAAATATGCTATTGCGGGAATATATTTTTCTGAACAAAGGGATATATCATGATTCCATGATTCTATCGCAAGAGGGGTTTAAATAAAGAAGAAAGGAAGCGTGATACACGGGCCTTCTGTTATTCTTATTCTGTAAATTCCCTTCAGTTGAATGGTGATACTCAACATGAATCTCACCACACAAATCTAGTGTTTTTCTTCCAGGACAACACATGCAGGGGAAGCACTTTTGGATATCAAGGACGGACAATGCACGATCTATCAGATGTGTGTTGACAGAGCAAAGTTCTCTTGAAGGGTTTTACACAAGTCCAGCCCCCAGTGGTAGAACACGCATTTGTACATGCGGTGTCTCGAGGTATCTCAAATTAAAATGGAAGGGGGGATTGAACCTGTAAATGTCATCACAGTAGGGAGGAGAACGTTCAGCCAGCACCTGGCACTCCCCTGTGCTCCTTGGGTTTCCTTCCCATGTGTCCTGTCCAAGAAGCTAGCTGAATGGAGACCAGGTCCATGGATGGTTAAGCGCATTCCTGGACCCTTTCTTTGCACAAAATACAATGAAGTATGGGCTCCCTGACCCTAATTATGCAAAGCCCACAGGTCATGTGTGGCGTGGTGGTTAAGAGCACGGGACTGGGACTCAGACGATCTGGGTTCGAGTCCCCGCTCAGCCATGGAGCCAACTGGGTGACTTTGGGCCAGTCACAGACTCTCAGCCCAACCTGCCTCACAGGGTTGTTGTTGTGGGGATGAGATGGAGGAGGAGAATGATGTAAGCTGCCTTGAGCCCTTTCTAGGAAAAAGGCAGGATATAAATGGAAAAATAAATAAATAAATGTGTACAGGAGCAGAACTTTATTTGCAGAGTGGGAGCAGGTGGTGGGTGCCCAAGCCAGTGTTGGAGACTCACTTGGACTCTCTTCCTCCAGATGCCTGTGAGAACAGTTGGTGTGAGGTGGACTTAGGGCAGAGAGAAAGCAGGCCAGAGCCTGAGGAGCTAAGCTGAACACATGCGATGGATTCCCGTCCCCACCTGGATTGATTGCTGGCACATTGCAACATCAGCATAAGAGACTTCCATTGCATTTGGCAATAGCCTTTCTCGGCTTTCTAGGTTTTTTGTGGAGTCCTTTTAATGCTGTTGGCATTACTCTATTATGCTTGTGCAATTTGATTTTGGTTAGTGCTCACATCAATTTAGAGACTTGCCTTCTGTATTATAATTCGTGAATCTTCCATTTTGATTGGGAATGAATCAAAGCATCTCTTTTTTAAAAAAATGCATTCCAATATTTTACCACATCTTTTTTACAAAAACATAACAAAACATAAACTTTGTTCCAAGCAGAACACAACCAAGCATGTGGGTGACCATCTGACAGTGAAGGAGAGGTACCCAGGAGGGATTGGAGGTTGGTTCCGTCAAATGGCGCAGAGATTCCCAAGCCATCCCACACTGGGAACTGAGAGGACACACGACCTTGCAGCCAGAGCAACAGCTGCAACACTGGCTGCAGATCACCTCCATCACCTGCTTCAACGATGAACTCACCACCCCTTGAGGTTGACTTTGAGTTGACCTGCTGAGCTCACTGAGGCAGCAGGTGGCTTTGCCAGCCTGGCTTGGATTACTCCACGTTGCCGCTCCGCCATTTCACCAAAGCAGCCTTCATCTCCTTGTTCCTGAGAGTGTAGATGACCGGGTTCAACAGTGGGGTTATGGTGGTGTAGAACATGCTCACCACCCCATCTGCTGAACCTCGGGCAGCGGGCCTCAGGTAGTGATAAACCACGGGCAAGTAGTATATGCCCACCACAGTGACATGGGCAGTGCAAGTTGAGAAGGCCCGGTGCTGTCCTTCACTGCTCCTGATCCTTAAAATAGCGGAGACGATATACGCGTAGGAGATCAGGATAAGCAGGAAGCAGGTCATGGCCACAAGGCCGATATCAACGAAGATCACCATCTCATTGAGTTTTGTGTCAGCACAAGCCAGCTTCAGGATGGCCGGGATGTCACAGAAGATGTAGTCAACAGAGTTGCTCTGTCCGTAGGGCAAGAGGAAGGTGAGCGTTGTCTCCATCGCTGAGTTCAGGCAGCCTCCAAGCACTGTTCCTAAGGAGAGGATGAGGCAGACTTTCCGGCTCATGAGACTGCTATAACGAAGAGGTTTGCAAATGGCCAGGAAGCGGTCATAAGCCATCAGGGTGTAAAGCAGACTCTCTGCACAGCCGACAAAATGGAAGAAGAATATCTGGGACACGCATCCTGCAAAAGAGATGACCTTTCCGCCAGGAAGGAATCCTGCAATCACCTTGGGAACCACCACAGAGGAGAAGGCCATGTCCAGGATGGACAGATGACACAGGAACCAGTACATGGGCTTGTGCAGCTGGTGGTCAGATGCCACCACCCAGAGGATCAACAGGTTTCCAGAAAGAGTCAGTATATACATGAGAAAGAAGAAGAGGAACAATGGAATCTTTATCACTTCAGGGGATGGTACTCCAGAGAGAACAAATTCGGTTGGTGCTGTTTGATTGGGACACTCCATTGCCAAACAATGCGAGAAGTTTCAGGGTATAACACTTACTTGGCTTTGGTAAGAAGGTCATGGAAGGTCTACTGGTATCTCATAATATTGGAGTTCAGTTGTGCACGTTGAACACAGTTTGGGGCATACTTGGTCAGATCGCTGATGTACATGATAAAATTGTTCCCTCATCCCAAGATGCTGACATGCCTCTTGTTCCCACATTCTAAGATGCTTGCAAAATCCAGACTCAGTCTTCTGTGTCTTTATTTATGTCCTAACGTGAACATCACTTCCTTTTCACTTTCGGACACATAGGACACATCATGCTTAATCACTTGGAGAAACACTTCCCTTGCAAATATTTGGAAGGACAGCTCCTGAAAGCAACCAGCCGACCTTCCTATCAAATGGAAGGTGCTTCACAACTTTGCTGGGACAATTAAGTTGATATTTATTAGTATACCTAGTTCTATTAATCCTTTCTTGCCAAAATATCCGAATGTAGGACACTATATCGACCAGATCAGTTCAGTTATTGACTGGGCTAGAAATAAAAAGGAAAGAAAAAAATGCTGTGTAAAACTATTTCTCGAAGTATGAGACATATCAAGAACAAATAAAAGTTTGGGAAGTGATTGGTTCCAGAGTAGCAGTGATGCCCTCTGCCTCCAGTCACTAAGACCTTGCAAAATTCATCCATCCATCCATCCGCTTATATACCATGCTAATATTCCTGTAGGACTCAGTGCTATGGATGATACAATGGATTCTTAGAAATCAGTTCTTGGATTTGTGGCTGGGACTTTGCCCACACTCTCACATGTGATTTGACAAGAAGAGAGTTGATCCAAAGATCCTACTTTACCTAATGTTTTCCCACTCTTCCTTTAGAGACGGTGGAAGAGATTCCATTTAAATCCTTTTTTAAAGGATTTGCATTATGGAATTTTTATCTTCTTCCATATAACTTTGAGTGCAACAGCAGGGAGTATATGCATGATGACTTATGAAGATCCTACACAGATACCTGTACACCTGGAGTTCGATCTGGACTAAGGTTGGATCAACTGTGCTGGCAAAAATAGACTCACCTGCCTGCTCCTTCCCACAGCAGCCTGTCCAGGCTTTAGAAAATGCTTCATGGAGAGTCGGAATACCCCACTGAACGGAGAGAGATGTGGTGTGGAGAGGAAAGGGGATTCCCACAAATTGAGGGGAGGGACCTTCCATGAGCAGAGCCTTACCACTCAAGGAAGGTTCTTCCTTTCAAATAAGGCAAATCTTGATGTTGTTGTTATGGGCCATCAAGTTGTGTCTGAATTATGGAGGCCCTCTGAATGAAAGCCTTCCAAAATGTCTTGACCTTGACTTCGTCTTGGAAACTCAACACAGTGGCTTCCTTCCTGGAGTCAATCCATCTCATATTTGGAAATCTTGGATAGTTTTGCAAATTCTGGAGACAGCACACATGCACAGAAGAAAGCTTGCTGTTCACATTTTGCAAAATATTGGCTTTGAAGGAAGTGAATCCAAGCTAATGGGTGGAAATGGGTTCTCTTAGTAGTAAACCTGATGATAGATTTCTCATATATCCAGAAACATCATGGATCTGGCTGAAGCCCATACCTTTACACATGTCTCAGTTGCACACTCTTGTAGCAAAACATGAAGGAGAGCCTACATCTTAAAATCCACCTTCTGCATCCAAAGAATATGAGAAAACCACTCCCAGAAATCCAGAGTTTTACAGCCTGTTAGACTTCAATGATAACCTGGAAGAAGATTATCCAAGTCTCATAAATCATCCGGGAGTACATTAGAGTCGGTCCTTTACTCGTAAAATGCTTTTGCCCTGAACTGCCTCTTCAGAGACTAGTGCAGTGCCTGTAAATGAATTTCAGAGGAGCTATAGAACCAAATTTTTCATGTCACTTGGAGTACAAACACTAATGTGAACTGAAAGGCACTGGTTAAATGACTCTGCAGTGAGATGTTACCTGCCACAGACTCCTAGAAAACTGCCTGGAAGAAAGGATTGGGAACAGCTGCTCAAATTTTAGAATCTCTCTGATGTTTACCAAGACACAAAAGTTTTGCAAAAACCTACTCATTAGCCTTACTGCAAATTAATATGTTTCTGTTCAGAAGATCTGCTGGAGGTTTCCCCCATGGCAGATCTGCCTCCTCGTTCTCAGTGACAACACTGTAATTTAAGTTGCCCCAGACATATTCCACCCAAACTTATTGTTGGCTAGTATGATCGAGGGAAACAGTTCTCGGAACCAAAATGTCCTTCTAGAGAGCGAGCGAGCTTGTGAATCTACTGCAGAAAAAAATGAAGAATGCTCAATGTCTGAATGGCTACCAGGTATATTATGAATGTGTACCAGAATGCACCAGGTCACGTCTCCTCCGATGAGGCCCCATCGGTGCGGGTGTTCAAGGATAGGCTGGACGTCCACATGGTGGGCATGTCGTGAGCAGAGCCGGCTGGTGCCGGAGGTCAGACAAGATGGCCCAGGAGGTCCCTTCTGACTTGCTCTGTTTCTATGTTTCCTTCAATGCATAGTTGTTCCTTCTAACTTGCATTGTGATGTCTCTTCAGGCTTCCATCTTGTATGTCTTGACCTTTCATTCTCCCCTTCTTTAATCCAGGTTATCTGTAGAGACTTCTTTGGTGGCCAGATATTCTACACCAGCAGGATCACATACCTTTCTCCACCATGTATTTATAATATCACAACTCCCGAGAGTCCTAAACCAACTCCTTGCTCCCTGCAGAGTTACAGATATGTGCACAGTTGCAAACATGCCTAGGGGTTACCTGTCCATCAGATTCCAGTGAGTGTTATTAAATATGTTGCTTATTGGAAGAAAAATAATTACTGTTGCACTCGGGGACAATGAGGTCCTGTTGGTTTCAGTAAAGACCGAACATGACTAATGACTCATATTGAGGGTGGGAAAGTGTGCTCAGTTGGTGCGCTATGATGCAATCCAGCATGGGCAAGATTTTTAAGATGCTACCATGTATTTGATTTTCCAAAGACAAGTGAAGTTTTTGCTCCTCTCCTTTAAAATTAGCCAGTTAACAGAGCAATGTTATGGCTCCTGGGCAGAATTTAGGGGACCACTGGATGCTTTGGACTTCCAGATTGTCTGGAAATCCATGCTCGGATGCTTCCTCTTAACTGGAGTGGAAAGAACTACACTAGCGCTGTCTCTGAGATTGTGAAAAGGACCTTGGAGAAGGGCTAGAGGAAGTGCTGAGAGGAGGAGAGGAGGATCACAAAGTTATGAGATATCCTGGTGACTCTCCAGCCTTCTTCCTTCCCTGCCTGAAGCAAGACAGCTAGATGACCAAAACTGGCCCTCTAGTAGTTCTGCAGAATGAGAGAACCACGGAGGTGGAGATCTTCCTTCTCTTGCTCTATTTATGATGCCCACAGTCCTTGACCTTGGAGGTTTATGAGTATCTCCACTTGATTGCACCCTGAAGCACATGTCCAGAATATAGATTAAGGATCTAGGCTCCACCCATTTCTGCTAGCTATTCACTCATCTTCTACTAAGAACAGTAGAAAGATTGCACCCTTAATCACTGGACAGATCCCGAGTAACCAGGAGTGTGATTATGAGGGATAGCTCAATATTTTCTGGGTATGAAACAGCCCCTGTGAAGAAGGTAAACTCTACACTTGTATTTACAGGGAAAAGGGCTGAAAATGAAAGCGCCATACTAAAATGCACATAGAATCCTATGTGTGGCTACAATTGGCCTGCTGTCTCTAGTTTTGCATTACGTCTGAAGCAAGAAGCTTATCTTAAAACTGCATCATCATCATCTAGATAGAATATCCGTTGTCACTTCTGCCTTGATTTGGACTTCTCTTGGTGTCTGAGAGAGGGGAGGAGGAAAGGAGGAAGGCAGGCCACAGGGGAGATTTTAAACTTTCTGATTCGGGGTGCAGTTATGGGCTGGAGGAGAGCTAAAAAATGGAAGCTGGTGGGTCAGCGGTACCCAAGTCCAGGAACTGGATTGCTTACCTGTTCTGGAGAGGGTTGCATCACCTTGAAGGAGCAGGTGTGTCAGCTGCAAGTGCTCTAAATCTTTCCTTGTCACTTTGGTTCGCTTGCCAGCTATGCCCTTTCCTGGGTAGAGGTACCCCAGCCACTGCAATCCATGCCTCATGACTGGACTACTGTATCATGTCCAACCTGCCCTTGCACCTGGTCCAGAAGCTTCAGTTGGCACCAAGTACAGCAGCTGGAACGCCCCTCTAGCTTTATTCATATAATACCTGTGCTAGAAGAGCTCCACAACCTGTCTATTATCTACCAAGCAATGTTTAAGGTTTATTGTTGGCATACAATATGCCAACAATATGTATGCCAACAATAAACACTTTGGGACACCCACCACGATGTATTGTCAGAGCTATTCTTGCTGTAATGCAACATTTTGGGAGGTGGCTTGATTTTGAATGGGCCAGCAAGATCCATTAGCTTAGTGAAAGACTTGTCACTGGTGCAGATAAACCTTGCAAGAACTTTGGGAATATGGACCAACACCACTACCTGCAATTTGGGACTTTTTTAGGGCCCTGGCTGTCGGACTCTCATGATACCTGCACTGAAAAATTTACATCCACATCACTGAAGAGGAGGCAGAACTGAGTCTTTGTCCAGGGGCAAGTGGAAATTTTGGCTTCCCTGCCACAGAACTTTTTCCACAGGTTCACACAACACAGGTCTGAAGCTCTTCCAGTCTTTGAGAAAAAAAGCCAAGCTCTTGGAAGAGGCTCTAGTTTGTGCTGGCCATTCAGAGTGCAACATTTATCATGTCCTTCACAACTGCAACTTGGAAAAAAGCAGCCAGAAATGAATAAAGAATAATGAATAAAGAGAGCTTTTGGCAGCTCGGTGCATGAGCTGGGGAAGCCAAAATCTGGGCTGAATACTGCCTGCTTCAGTACATAAAAAATAAAGAAACACAGGAGTACAGTTTAAGAGTCTAAAAATATTACTTTTCACATTATGCTATGTTTCTCTTTGCTCCAGAGATTGCTCACTGATGTTTCAGCTTCCACTTTCTTTGGGGAATTCTCCCCAATCCCTGTGGGGCACAAAGTTAATACAACTTTACTGTTGTATGGAGCCTCATCATTTACAGCCAGACCAATGAGCAAAACAAGTTAACTGGAGAAGCCTCAGAAATCCTTCCTGGAGGCAAAACAACTGATGGTAATTTATTAAGGATTTTGATGAGACTTTCAATGACTTTTGTGTTGGATGTACCAAAGTATGAGCTTCCTCAGCGACCTCTTCTGAAACCCTTTGTTCATTCCTGTAGGTACGGCTATTGTAAATCAATCTATTGTTTTAATGAGGGAGGGAGTGAAAGTGAATGTATTTTCATCATGTAGAGGATTGGAAGGGTTTTGACTGAGAGGGGTTTCTGCATATTTTGCACCAATTTCTTTCTCTGTAATGCCGAAGGATTCGAATCTGGATTTACTTACACAAAGTTGGCTGGTTAGATATGAGATGGACATATGGATCTTATGCTTAGGCGGAGCTTTGGTTCCTTAAGCCTTGCCTTGAATCACTAAGGTAGGATCGGGGAACATCCAGAAATTGTCAGTGCTGAGCCGCTGCTTCAACTTTCTTTTCCTGCTACAAGATTTTAGAAAGAGACATGCTGGATCAGGACAAGAGTCCATCTAGTCCATTTCATGCCATGTTCAATGTTCCAACCTGCAGGAAATGAACAAGGAGGGCATGAGGGCTTCTGCCCATGTTTCCCAGAACCTGGTATGCAGTGGCACTCTGCCTCTCCTATTGAAGGTAGCATAAGGCTGTCGGGGCTTGTAGTCAATTATCGCTCCCCTCCAGTCCCCTTCGGAAGCCCTCTAAATCGGTGGCCATCCCTACACCCTGTGGAAGCAGATTAACTATGTGCTGTGTGAGGAAGGATCTGACCTTCTCATCTCTTTCATCTCTCCTGAACTTCCCACCATCTGCTTCACGGGGTGTCTCTGGGTTCTATTTTTAGGAGAGAGGGAGAAAAACATCTCTCTGTCCACTTTCTGCATGGCAGGCATAACTTTGTGTACCCCTGCGTTGCCTCCCCTGTCAAGGGCCAGTTATTGTAACCTTTCCTGGTAGGGGAATCGCTCAGTCCCCTTGTGCTTTTATTTGCCTGCTTCTTCACTTTTTCCAGTTCTATAATCTCCTTTCTTAGGTGGAGTGGCTATAGCTGTACTTAGTATTCCATATACAATTGGTCAGAGATAAGAGAGTTTTTAATGCCAATTTATCTTTAGATATTCTGCAAATAGCCATTATAAAAATTGTGTGTATTTTGCAGGCAGGCAGACCTGCTACATAGAGCTGGGTCAAAGCCATCAAGGAAAGGATCTTCTCCTTCTCTCTTTCTCTCCTTCTCCTTCTCCTTCTCCTTCTCCTCTTCCTGTTGCCCGAGGTTCATTTAACTGGAGGCACCAGCCAGTGGCAACTGAAAACTGCCAAGCAGGCTGTGACTTCTCAGTGGTGTGCCTGGGAACTGAATTGAGGACCTTGCTCATTTGAAACCAGAATTACAAGCCGGACCCAAAGGCCTGGAGTGCAAGCAGAAGTCTCCCCCGCTCCAGTGCGCTGGTGGAAATAACTTCTGGACATGCACGGGTATCTTCAGATCCACCATAGTCTATTCACCGTTCTTAGGTGGGTCTGGGGAACCAGGATAAGTGTGAAGATGTTTGCTCTTTCAAGGAGCTCAATGGTGTGGCACAGATAGTTCCTTCTCATGTGTAGATTTTGGTTGGGCCGGTTGCTATTAGTGGTTAGCAATGATTCTTTTTCCCAGAGACATTTCAAGAGTAGTAGCGTCCCCTTTTCTGAACCTTCTCTTCCATGCAGACTTCTTGGCTGTTGATTTCCTCCCTGCCTCCCCCCTGCCCCCGCTTCCTTCCTTGTTTCTGTAACTTGACCCGAAAGAACTCCCCCCCTTCTCCCTTAACTCTCCTTCCCCCTTTAACCATCTCTTTAAGCTCCGCTGTTCCTTGATGCACTCACCTTGCTAGCACCTCTCCTGTAGACCATTCCATTATCGTTATTCAGCCTTCCCAGTTCCTCACGCTTTCTTCCATCCCCACCTCCTTGTGTTCCAATGGACCAAACTGCAAGCCATGCATTTAATATGTCTGTGACCTTTATGTATGTATGTATTTAATGCCAGCCATTGTGTGGTTGTTGGTGGTGAACTGAAGGCCAAGTCTGTGGCGTATGGTGAGTGAAGCTGGATCCATTTCCTCATGCCACAATCCCAGGGTAAATTAGGGACTCAAAACCTCTCCATTGAAATATTTTCAGATTTCCCTTTTCTTGCTTAGGTGCAAGATCGTCTCATCCGGGCACTGCAGTGCACAAGATCACAAGGCTATGAGGTCTGGAACAGAATCACCGTAGAAAGATGTCCAACTTCACTGCTAGGGTTCAATTCACCCTCTGTGGGTTTTCCAACATTTTGGAAGTACAGATCCTCTTTTTCGTGTTCTTTCTAACCATTTACCTGTTGACTCTTCTTGGCAATGTCCTCATAGTCCTTGTCGTACATTCCAACCCTCCGCTCCATTCTCCCATGTACTATTTCCTCTGTGAGCTCTCTCTCTTGGACATGTTCTATTCCAGTGCTACGGTGCCCAAGATGTTGACCGGCATCCTGACGGGTTCTCACGCCATTTCCTTCGAGGGCTGTGTAGCTCAGCTCTATTCCTTCCACTTCTTTGGAGGCACCGAATGCTTTCTGCTCACCGTCATGGCGTACGACCGATACGTAGCCATATGCAACCCACTCCATTATGCTGGGATCATGAACAGGGTAACTTGCTTGAGGCTGGTGGCTGCCACGTGCCTGGTGGGCTCCCTCCATTCCACCCTTCAGACTGTGCTCACCTTCCAGCTCCCTTACTGTGGGCCTTACCAGCTTGACCACTATTTCTGTGATGTCCCACCATTACTGAAGGTGGCCTGTGCAGAAACTTTTCTGAATGAGACGGTCGTGGTGGTGAACATCGGAGTCGTGGCGCTGAGCAGTTTTGCTCTGATCCTCGGTTCCTACCTCCGCATTGTTGCGGCGATTCTCAAGATGCATTCTGAGGAGGGGAAGAAGAAGGCCTTCTCCACCTGTGCTTCTCATCTCACTGTGGTGGTCCTCCTCTACGGCCCTTGCATCCTGATCTACACGCAACCCTCAATCAGCCACCCAGTACTGAAGACAGTGGCCCTTTTTTACACGTCTGTGACACCTGCCCTGAATCCCATCATCTATACCTTGAGGAATGATGAAATCAAAAAGGCTGTGGACAAACTGGCATTCACTAAGATATTTTCTTGAACAATATCAAATATCTTGAAGATATTTTCTTGAACATTATCAAGTATCTTGAAGATATTTTCTTGAATGTTATCAAATATCTTGAAGATATTTGCTTGACCGTTATCAAATATCTTGAAGATATTTCTTGGATGTTATCAAATATCTTGAAGATATTTTCTTGAATTTTATCAAATATCTTGATATTTTCTTGAAGATATTTTCTTGAACATTATCAAATATCTTGAAGATATTTTCTTGAATGTTATCAAATATCTTGATATTTTCTTGAACATTATCAAATATCTTGGTGTCTTTGGTCCTGACTCTTGGCTTGTTCTCCAGTGACTGGTTTATTTCATAGGCTCTGCTTTCAGGATCAGCATTGTCTGCCACCCACAGCTTGGTCCTAAAAGTCTCTGAGCAATGCAAAATTTAGGGTGTGTGGACAGTTGCACTACTGTAAATCTGAGTTCTGTAGCTATGCTGAGCTTGAGCTTGGGCTCGGGCTCGGACCCAGGAACCAACTCCCTTCTTGGAACATCTGAAACACTTCTTCCAAGTGTGAAGACTGCCATCATCCCTTCTGCAGGTCCTGTGATGGCCACCAGGAGCTCTGAAGAGGCAAGCAACCAACCAGTGGTGCTGGGCAGGTGAGGACAGAGATCTCTTAGCCAGAACTCCATGTAGGGGAATTACTACTCTCCCTGAGAGGACTGCACTGAACAGCAACTGTCCAGCTTCCATGCCCATTTCTGAGGAAATCAGTGTCATCTGCTCATTTAGAGCAACTGGAGAAGGGAAATGCACCAAAGGTGAAATTTGATGGCCATCTGAGTGGGATGGTATAAACCGGTGTCATGCAACAGCAGGAGGTTGGACCCAATGGCATCCTTGGCCCCTTCCAACCCTACCCTTTTGTGATTCTATGATCATGGCCCACATTCCCAGCCCCCTCCCCCAGTTCTCTTTTAGAGTCTGATTCTGAATCCTCTAAAACAGTATTTCCCAACCTTGTGCCTTCCAGACATGTTTGGACTGCAACACCCAGAATTCCCAGTCAATGGCCCTGCTGCATGGGAATTCTGGGAGTTGTGGTCCAAAGGCCTCTGAAGGCCACCAGGTCAGGGCAGGCTGCTCTGAGGTCCAGCCAGCAATCTTTGAAAGCCAGTGCTCAAAGCAACCATCTTTCTCAGGTCCAACAAACACTGCAAATTATTTGCTGGCTAATGATATTTTTATGTATCTCTCACTAGACTCAGCCAGCAGGAGATGTCATTATTCATGTCTTTTCAAAACAGAAGAAATCCCTGTTGGTAGTTGTGGGTGAACTTCAGGGAGCAGAGGAATGGAATGGGGAATCGTGGTGATGAAGCAAGATGACATCAGTTTCCCTGCTGTAACCATTCAGGGGAGTTGATAGAATCCCAGAAACACATAAGAGAGAGAAGAGAAAGGGGGGTTGTGGTTTGCACCCCAGAGTAGCTTATGGAGTGACAGACGTTGCCTTCTGAGCAGAGAACGTGAAACTGGCTTCTTTGGAAGTCATGGGAAGAGGGTCTAATGGAGACAGCTGGGTGTCATTTTCTTATTTGGCCGACTGAGAGTGCTGCCTGTCCTGAAAAGCTGATAAAGAAGGGCAAAGGGACACTGCAAAAGGCTACAGCAGAAAGCCAAGGTTGCTTTGGTCTCTGTAAGCTTCAGAACACCTGACTTTGCACCAGGTGGAAAGGTAAGAAGCTATGAGCTGGTTTGTAGGTAATGCTAAGTCTGAGTTCAGTCTTACAAGAAGACTTGCCCTCCCTGGGGGATTTTGGGTCCCTCTTCCTCTAGGAAAACTGCATAAACATATTACGGTCAATTATTGTAAGTGGAAACAAGCCAGGTTCAAACTGTAGTTTACAAAACTGGCTTGTTTTCGCTTGTTAAGACTATTGCTGAGGGTGCAGATGGCAAACTAAATGTGGTTAAACTAAAGCAAGAGTGGAAGCTTCTGGACTCTCTTTTGGGCCATTGTAGAGGAGGAGAGGAGAAGGAGTGATGCATGAGGTGAAGCTAAGCTTGTGTTTACACCTAATTTTAAGCCATGGTTTATGTTAACCATAGTTTGTCGCTTTAGCGATGAACTGTCTTGCAGACCAACCAACTGGAATTTCACTAACTTATATCCCATTGATTTCAGTGGGCCCACTCTAAGTATGACTATATCTGGACCACCCACAATTGTTTTACCTCTTAACTCTTTCCCTGATTTGAGTGATTGCTATGGCACGCCAATGACCTCCGTCCTTGTATTTTGCAGGCTAATGGTTCATAGTGTAAAAGCGATCCAGGACAACCCAACAGACAAGACATGAATAATGGAGTGTGGAAACAGATCAGGACTGTATCACTTCATCATCGTTGGGTTCCCTTATCCCCATGAGCTACGTGTTCCGTTGCTCATCTTCTTTTTGCTTGTCTACCTGCTGACCTTCCTCGGGAACTTCCTGATCCTCTTGGCTGTGATGTTTGAGCCCCAACTGCACAAGCCCATGTATTTGTTCCTTTGCCACTTGTCCCTCTTGGACATGAGTGTCTCCTTAGTGATTGTCCCCAAGGTGGCTGCTGGATTTGTAGAAGGTGGAGGGGTCATCTCCTTTGGTGGCTGCGTGGCCCAGCTCTTCTTCTTCCACTTCCTGGGATGCACAGAATGCTTCCTCTACACGGTGATGGCCTACGACCGCTTCCTGGCCATCTGCAAGCCCCTCCACTATGGCACCATCATGAACCTCAAAGCCTGCCTTTGCCTCTCCTTTGGCACTTGGTTTGGGGGCTCCTTGCACTCCATGATTCAGACCACCCTGACTTTTCAGTTGCCCTACGGCCATGGGAACCAAGTGCACTACATCTTCTGCGACATCCCGGCCGTACTGAAACTGGCCTGTGCTGACACAGGGTTCAATGAGATGGTGACCTTCGTAGACATTGGCTTCTTGGCTATGACCTGCTTCCTCCTCATTGTCACCTCCTATGTGTATATCATCTCCGCTATCTTGAGGATCCGTAGTGCGGAGGGGCGCCGGCGGGCATTTGCCACATGTGCCGCCCACATGACTGTGGTGGTGACTTACTATGTCCCCCTGGTGTTCATCTACCTCAGGCCATGGTCCCAGGACCCACTGGATGGAGTGGTGGCAGTGTTCTACACCACCGTGACCCCACTCCTGAACCCTGTCATATATACCCTGAGGAACAAGGAGATGAAATGTACTTTGAAAAAGCTGTGGGGCAGGAAGCCTTCCTTGCCAGTTGAATGATTGACTCGTCTTTCATTGCCCTTGTGTCAAGGTGGACGTGAGCATGGATTGATTCAGAATGCAAGTTCTTTTGTTTTTCAAAGGGCCCCGAGGGCCACTCCATGGTGAGAGAGCACTTAGATGAGCCATGTTTATTTTATTGTGATGAGACGTATCACCAACTAACATCCGATATGTGTCACATATATCTTACACCCAATATTGTCAAGAGAACTATGAAGCAACCTAATTCAGACTTATTCGTTTCTCGATCAGACAGCAACACACACACACACACACACACACGGATCTCTGGGGACACAAACCTTTATCCAATCTGTTCTCCATTCCCTATCTTCTCTGCTTGTATCCATCTCGATTTCTTCTACAATTTTCCCAATACAACACCATAAGTAAATATACATATTGACCCCAAGCATGAAAATAATCATAACCACTCAGTCATACCTGAGAGCTGGTGGGGTGTAGTGGAGATGAGTGTGGGTCAGGGACGCAGGTGCTCTGGGTTCTAGTCCCTGCTCAGCCATGGAACCAACTTTGGGCCAGTCACAGATTCTCAGCCCACCCTACCTCACAGGGTTGTTGTGGGGATAAGATTGAGAACCAGAACAGGAGAATGATGTAGGTTGCTTTGCATTCTTTTTTTAAAGAAGAAAAGGCAGAATATAAATCTAATTAAAAAATACTAAATATAAAAAGTAATCAATTGTTCCATTAACATTGATTAATCTCCATAAATGGTTGGAAATATTCAAGAAAACCATGTACTAAATCATCTTCAAAAAGAGCCAGGGTGGTGTAGTGGGTGGAGTATTGGACTGGAATTCAGGAAATCCAGGTTCCCATTCCCTCTTGGCCATAAAATTCATTGTGTGACTTTTGGGCCAGTCACAGACTCTCAGCCTAACCTACCTTACAGGGTTGTGATTGTGAGGATAAAATGGGAGGAGCTGGCCTGAGCTCCTTGCAAAAGGCATGGTGTAAATGCAATGGGATGCTGGGAACGATTGACGGCAAAAGAAGGGGACGCCAGAACATGAGGTGGCTGGATGGAGTCACTGGAGCAGTGCGTGTGGGCTTGGGTCGACTCTGAGGGATGGTGGAGGACTGGAGAGCCTGGAGGAATGTTGTCCATGGGGTCGCGATGGGTCGGGCACAACTTTGTGACAAAACAACAAAATGCAATGTGATGATAATGATAGTCGTTCAGGGTGAAGTCCTATTGGTTGTTTTCTTGCTGCTTGGAAGCCTCTGAAATTGGAAGATTCAGAGATTCCCCCAAGTTCCTTAGAGCTTCTTCATGGTGCCACTAGCCATCACTGAGAAAATAAGACCTTCCAGGTGGCCATCCACCACCTCTGGGCTTCCAGTCCCAACTATCTCTGGTTCTCTCCAATACGAGAGACATGTGTCCTCTTTGGCAAATGTAGCCATGGAGGGGAGGTTCTGGCAAGAGTTCTGCATTGGTGGGGAAGGTCTGAAGTGTCATTGATGTTGCTCTTGGCAGAACATGGTTGTGTGGCTGTGTGTGAATCAGGACCTTCATAGCAGCAACACTTGGTGGGTGGGAGAGTCTGAGCAACATTCCACTGCGGGAGAACTTACCAAGATTCCACTGAAGCTGGTGCCTCCATTGCCAACAGGGTGGTGTATCCACTCTGAGTTTTGGTCAGGACTTAAAAGGAGCTATCCATAGTGCTGAAACTATTTGGAGATAGGGTACAGTAGCATGGATAACTCTGTAAAAGTTCAGACAGAAACGCAAAATGGATGCATTGTTGCAATAATATCAGAGCCACCAGTCTTCATCTTGACAAGATCTCTACTTGGTTTAAATGTAGAAAAGGCTGAGGCTTTTCTCCCATGCTCAAGAGGAAAGACAGCACATTATGTGGTATCTTGGCTACCCTCAGTGGTGGCACTCCTTGGAAACATGAGGCCAAATGCACCAATGGGAACAACACTATATCACAACATCACATTATTTATTTATTATTTTTATTTATTTAGAAAGCTTCTATGCCGCCCCATTTGCCGAAGCCTCGGGGCAGCTTACAGCAATGAATAAATAATAACAATATAAAACAATATAATATAATTGGAGACATCCTGGGATTCTTGGGGGAATTGGTGGCACTGGTAGAACCCCAGCTTCACGCAGTGCACCTCATTCCCACCCTGCGGAATGCTGCACCTTGCAGAAATGCAAGAAGCTATTTGGATATTTGCTAAAGCTTTGGATTGCTTATTTAAGGAGAAACCACTGGTCCCTTCATCTTTAACAGTAAACCCAGCTCCAACCTTTGTCCATTCCCTGAAGGTTAATCCTATTGTTGGAGGGCATTTTTGTCTCCCTGCTTGAACCTGGCAAAGAAGTCTGATCTGCATTATGTGGCCAAGCATTACAAGTGTTATTATTTCTTATTAAAGACCACATTTGTTGTGTTAAGAATCCATTAGAGTCACATTTCATAGAATAGTTGGAAGGGGCCATGAAGGCCATCGGGTCCGACCCCCTGCTGTTGCAGGACACCAATTTACACCATCCCACTCAGATGGCTGTCCAGTTTCTCTTTTAATGTCTCCAGTGTGGGAGAGCCCATGACTTCTCTGGGCAGCTGATTCTACTGTCGTATTGCTCTGACAATGAGAGAACCTTTCCTGATATCTAGCAACTTGACTTGATTATTCCATGTCCTACACTCTGGCATCAGCAAGAAGAGATCTTGACCTTTCTGTTTGTGACAGCCTTGGAGGTCCTTATATGTTCAATTCTTCATTTTTTGAAAGTGCATTAATCCACCAGGGGCCTCCAATTCCCCACCACACCCATGATGCCCTCAAACAATGCAAGTACTGGGCCATTCTGGGCCATAAAATGGAGACTCCAAGAGAAACTCCTCCAATACTAGAAAAAGCACCTCTCTCAAATGATCCAAATAGACATGGATAGTTGTTACCGAAATGCATTCTTCCAGAACCTAATGCCTCCACTTTGGTTCAATGTTTCCTTTGTTCCAAAAGAAACTCTTTCCTCCCATTGAGGTGACATCTGAACTCCGATTTGTCACCCAGTCCCTTGGCTCATGGGAATTAATCAAGCCGATTCACTGTGTTCCTGGAAAATACCCAGAGGTGCATTTATCCTAACTGGCTGTCTCTCCTTGCTGAGTGAGGCTACTGCTTTATTAACCATGCCAGACAAGATCCCTCCCAAGGCAAAGTCTTCTTGGGTTCTTCCTGGGCACGGGGCAAGGCCCTCTCAGGTAAGTGTGGATGTGCTTTATGGGTGCACCATGGACGCTGAAGAATAGCATCACATCGCCAGCAATACTGATGGTGTCCATCATCGTACTAAACTGCTACCAGAGGGGAATATATCTGAATATATCCATCAGCAAATATAGGGGTATTTGTAGCCTTGGATGCTTAGTAGCCAGGGCTGTTTGTTTTTAATTTCCCCCAGATTTCAAAAATTTAAAAAGTTTAACAGAAAGGCCGTCATATTGCAAAGAGCTCATTTTCTTTGCAGTGATACCACCATGCTCCGTCTGGTTCCCAGAGGCATTCTCGGAAAAAAAGAACGGTTGATGGCTGCTCTCCAGCACTTCATGGTGAAGGGCATCTTGTGGTGCAGAAAGAAAGAAAGAAAGAAAGCTAGGGAGGTGGTGGAGGTGACGGCAGGGAGCTTCTGGAGGGACAGATTGGGTGGTGGTATGAAACGAGGCGGGTGTCTTGTCTCTGAAGCTGTTGTACTTTGGGCACACCATGAGAAGGCAAGACTCCCTGGAGAAGACGATCAAAGGAGGAAGACCAGCTATGAGATGGACAGAACATTTTGGAGGACTTTCCTTCACAGAATTACCCTAAGTTGGAGATGATACGACAGCATATAAGGAGACAACATCCTCTCTCTCGCTCTCTCTCTCTCTCTCTCACGTGTGCTATATGTTAGCCACTTTTTTGTTGATTTGTGTTTTGTCGGTGCTTGTGATGTGTTTTCCTGGGGTCGGATTTCTTGGAGTGATGTGCTTTTCCTGGGGTTCAATTTTTTTGAGGGGGGCTGTGGTGTGCACATGTGTGTGCATGTTGATGAGGCATTAGCTGGTTTATTTGTTTGTTGGAGTGTGCGTTCTGCCAGTGTCTGTGTGTGTGTGTGTGTCCACCTGGCCTTGTGTGCATATGTGTGTGGTGCATGTTTTGCCTGGGTTTTCCGTTTGGAGTGTGTCTTTTATTTTTGCAAGATGGGTGTATTGCAAAGATGTGATTTGGCATTCAGAACACGTACGGGGACTCTGCCTTGTACTCCATCCCTTGGCCAAGTTACGTGTCTCTCAGTCTCCGTAGTTTCTCTTCCCTATTCCCTTTCCCTGGTGCAGAAAACTCTAGCTTTAAAAGAATGTTTTTGCCCTTTGGAGCCGAGACCCCATTTCTGCCTTGAATTTAGGTTATTGGGAGGTTACTTTTCCTCAAGTGTAACTGATTTGCCTTCTGGGAAATGGGCATTTTGTGAATGGGCAACTGTCCACAGCGGCCATTTTGTGAGAGCAAACAAAACACTCCTTCAACATTTCGAATGTGTCCATTGCCCTAAAAAAGTTATGGTCCACAGAGTAGTTTGATTGATTTCCCTTGCTTACAAGTTCTCTCTTCTGCAAATCTTTGGACTTCCTAAGGCTGACATCTTCCTCTTGGTTTTCAGTCTTGCTTCTCAGTCACCCAGTCTTGTCAGAGTGCAGCACCAGAATTCACAACACCACCAACAATTCATAAAACTCATCCAAAGCACGTAACGCACATTGCCAGAGTTACCTTTACAGCAATCCAGTTTTATTATTTCCCAGTTGTGGCTGAAAGAGAGGGGCTGGCTTGAAGCCAGTGAGGGAATGTCCATAACCTGCTGCACTTGGAAGATTATTGGCATCCTGTGTGAGGTGGGAGAAGCACAGAGGTGAAGGTCACCTCTGAACCATCACTGCTCTATAAAACAACTGGAGGGGGGATATCAGTTGACTTAGTATAATGCTTCAAAAGGTGAGAAAAGAAAGTGAGATGCCACCAGGATAAGTTGCATCCTGGAGCTTCTGGGAGTGGTTACATGGGATATACTGAAACAAAACGTTCACTCCCCCTGTATCCTGTTTGAAAGGAAAATGTCACTTCTGTATTGCCAAGGAATAATGACTGAAATGATTTTGTTCTTCTCAGGAACTGCTGGAGCTGAAATGGAGAAGCTTTGGGTCTGTGGGTGGCTTCTCCAAGTGGTTGAGTCCTTGAAGTGCATGTTGCTGCTTCTGCTGGAAAAATGATCATCCTTGGATCCTAGGCCAACCCTGCCCACCGACACTGGTAATTGAATCCTTCTGTTAGGAAAAGTGATAAGATGGCTTCCTCTTCCAGTTAAAACTTGCTTGAATAACAAGGCTCTCCTGAATGTTTTGTGGTCTTCTGGTTGTCCCAACTACTGGCTTGCTCCACCACCTTGTCTCCGGAACTGTTACTCGATTCTGACATTTGACTTTCTCCCTTGATCCTCTCTCTTGGTTTGTCCTCCAACCTTGACTTATTCTCCCGTCCTGACTCCTGGCTTCTCCCTACTGGCTCCCCATTTTCATCCCACAGGCTCCTGGACACGTCTGTCCGATGGAGCCAAAAAACCAAACTGAAGTGCACTTGTTTATCCTTGGTGGCTTGCCAAACACTGCACAACTCCCCCTTCTCTTCTTCCTCATCTTCTTGGTCATCTACTTATTGACTGTGCTGGGGAACCTCCTCATCCTTTTCACCATCTTGCTTGAACCCCGACTTCATGGTATCCCCATGTATTTCTTCCTCTGTAACCTCTCTTTCCTAGACACATGCCTTTCCACTGTCACTGTACCTAAAATCTTGGCTGGTTTAATAAGGTCAAGTGACAAAACCATCTCTTTTGGGGGATGCGTCATTCAACTCTATGCCTTCCATTTCCTGGCAAGCGCCGAGTGTTTCCTCTACACCGTCATGGCTTATGATCGTTACCTCGCTATCTGCCACCCACTGACCTATGCAGTGCTAATGAACGGGAGAATCTACTCCAGGCTGGCTGCTGGAATATGGTTCCTGGGTTCCTTCCATGCAGCGATACATACTAGCCTAACATTTCATCTGTCCTACTGTGGCCCAAACAAAGTGGACTATTTCTTCTGTGACATACCTCCAGTGCTCAAGCTGGCCTGCGCGGACACAGCGGTGAACCACACCATCATACTGGCCGACATCGGCGTGGTGGCCACCAGCTGCTTTGCTCTCGTATGCCTCTCCTATGCTCACATTGCCTCTGCCATTTTGAAGATCCAAACCACAGAAGGGAGGCACCGGGCCATCTCCACCTGCAGCTCTCACCTTATCGTGGTGCTTTTATACTATGGGCCTCCAGTCTTCATCTACACGCACCCATCTTCAAGTAACACGAGCTATGAGACACTGGCTGTCTTCTACACCATCATCACCCCAATGCTCAACCCATTCATTTACACACTGAGGAACAAGGAATTTAAAAGAGCATTGAGGAAGTTGTTTGATGGACACGGCCTTTCCCAGGATAGGCAGATGGGCAGCTGAACAGAGAAATTGGATGAGCAACCCTTTTTTAATTTTCACATGGGGATGATTTCCAATTTTATCACAAGGTAACAGAATCTCTAGTCCTCAGGCCTAATGTGAGCTCCAGTGCTTCTGGATCCAGCCCATGTAACCCACCTTATGTTTCTCCCATCTCAGAGGTTTGGACCAGCACTGGAAAAAGTGATGGCTTTGCCCACACTGGCTGAATGGCTTTGTGCGATGCCAAGAGCCCCCTCGTGGGACTGCTTGTGCCATGTGAGCCAGGGATTTGGTCAGCTCTGGCAAGAGTAGCTGCTTCTCTCAGCACCAGTTAAGGTCCTATTCTTCAGGCTGAGATATGTATGGGCTGGTGGTGTTGAGGTGACTGGGAGTGGTCACTTCCACTGACCTCATCCAGCTTCTGGGGTGTAGTGGGAATGCAGAAAAATGTTCTATCAAGGAATTTAGTGGCATATCGCGACTGCCACCTTCTGTCGCTTCCATACACATGACCACCATCTCTCCTTTCTCCTTCCCAGCAGTTCATGACAAACTATCCAGAGATGATTCGTATTGGATGGGATAAAAATATCCTAATAAATAAATATTGTAATAAATAAATAAAGAGAGCTTCTGACGTGGTGGGTGGTGATAAAGGAGGACTACTGGCTTGAAGATGAAATTTACAAAGCTCATTACACATGAGTTGGGATAGAGACCATACTCTTATAGTGTGTGTGTGTGTGCGTGTGTGAATGTTCAAGTGTGAGGCCGTGTGACTCTGGGACACAGTGGGATGATGCATTTAAAATGATACAGTCAATGCAACTGTGGAAAGGATTGCATTTGTCCAACACTGGAAAAGTGAAGAACCACCCACCGACGAACTGATTCTAAAAAAGATCTTGGACTGTGCAGAAATGGATGGATTGACTTTATTCCTGAAGGAGAAAGAAGATACTGACTTCTATCAAACTTGGGACTCTTTTTATTACTGGCTAGAGAAGGGGGACTTCGTATAGATTTAAATATGTTTTTAAGTTATCATAAATGGAAAAAAATGTGGGGGCTGACCCCACAGGCCTGATGTTTTTGATGATTGATGTTGTTTTTAGTCTTTCTTTGTTTTTAGGATCATAATTTTGAATAAAACTTATTATAAAAAAATACAGTCAATGTAGACTTGGGGCTCTAAGCCAGCAGGTGGTGTTAGAATGGCAAATGCGCTGTTCAGGGAGCTGATCCTAGCTGGGGGAAAGGTTCAGCACCATGGATGACCCCTTAACACTTCAGACTGTGCCCCATTGACGCTGGAGTGAGCCTCCTCCGCTGGAGAGAGTTAAATGGTTTTTCTGTTGAAGCAGTGTCACCAAATTTGCCTGGCTCGGGATGGGAACGCCTTCATTCATAGTCCTAGACTGCATTGTGGACTCAGGACCATCATGTCCTCCAGAAGTTTCCTCCAGGTTGGTCAGGTCACTCAAGGTTTTGGGCCTGCTCAGTTCACCAGGCCTGCTCAGTTCACCAGGGAGTCCTGGGACAAGTAGTTTCCCAGTGTGCCTGTACATGGTAGGGACATCAGACACTCTGGAGTTGATGGGCTACATGTACTGAGATACTTCAGGGTGTGACCATGACAGTTCTGGGCACAAGGAGTCATGGGATGTATCATTTCCAGGGTACCTGATGTTCGTAACGAGTACTAAGGTGATCTGGTAAAACTGTATGTCCCAGGGTCCCTGTTGCACTGGGAAGTAATGGAGACCTTATAGGGTTTGCTGCTGCCAAATTTGTCAGGGTCTTTGAAGATGTGGGGGAAGGAAAGGAAACAATATTCATGGCAGTGATTTGGGGACCCCATGAGACTCTCAATGGCATCATAAGGAACACAGCAGTGTTTCCAGATTTCAGAAAAGGACAAGGAAGAAGCTGCTGATCTTATTTATTTATTTATTTATTAAAACATTTTTATTCCGCCCCATTCGCCGAAGCCTCAGGGCGGCTTACAACAATAAATAAATTATTTATTTTTTAATAATTTAATAATAAATAAATTAATTAATAAATTACATTAAATAAGTTAATGGTTGGGCCATGTTCCATATTCTTCACTGAGTCCAGTCCATACATTACTGGACTATAATTTCAGATTGTGGGTGGCAGATGGAGAGTGTGAGAACAGTAATTCAACCCCTTTGAAAACAAAAGACAAGAAAGAAAACCTTCCTCACATGTCCCAACCTTGCATGTCACTGAGAAGGTTCGTGGTTGGCCTTTTCACCTGCATCTCGGTTTTCCTTTGTGTAAGAAGTTCTGTACAAGGTGAAGCTCTGAAATGTTCCAAGCACTGTTTACAGTCCGAAAGGACCAATCTCTGGAATGGATATGCCACCAAGTGCTCATTGGTTGTAGCTGTGGGGGAGACCCTTCCTCCAATCACTCGACAGCCACACCAAATGCGATACCAGCAGCCCTGTGAGAAGTCGAGCGTTTCTATCGAATTCCTTAGTGTGCGATAATCCACGCACTTACAATAGGCCATTTGGCTTGGAAATGTTACATGATACCCTTCCTTAAGTCCTCAGCATCTGTTCACCAGCCTTGCCCAGCCAAGCTCTTTAGGTGAGATCCGCTGGGAGAACAGCACCCTGTGGTGTGTGCCCCTAATGATGCCAACAGAATGACCTCTGGTATAGCATAATTGAACCCTGAACCCACTAGAGCCTGTGATTAGCTTTCCATTCATGAAAACCACACACCTGTCTCTCTAATATACTTGTTGCTACCTTGTTGCAGGGTAATGAGCCCAAAGGGACCTGTAAACATTTTAACTCTTTTGATTTGGTTTTGGTGTGCTGATCCTCACAGGGTTTCGATGCATCACTGCGCTCAGGGACCTCCCCTAATTAGAGGTGGGAGGACGCTAACGGTGGCTGCCCCTTAATAAGCCAGGGGGGAATTGCATGATCCCAAAGTTGTTAATGGCACAGGAGACAATTAAGGGCTCAGCAAAGGGAGGGGGTGTTAGACCGTCTGCAAGCTCTTAATAAGCTGCACTGAGGATCAGAAATTAACATGGAAACAAATTGCCGTAGCAACTGGGAATCTATGAATTGAAGCAAAGCCATTGTTAGACACTTGAACACCTAGTAGCGTAAAGGTGTATCTGCTGCCCTTTTATAGGAGCACAAAAAAGCCACTGAGTAGCATTGTGTGTTCATTTTTTTCATTAGGTCTTTCTTGGTCTTTTCAAATATCGCATCCAAGTCGGAGACCCAGTGTGGCATAGCGGTGAGTGTGTTGGGCTGGGGACCCAGGAGATCTGGGTTCTAGCCCTCACCTGGCCAGGTAGCTCACTCAGTGGCTTGGGCCCCATCACTCCTTCTCAGCCTATCCTACCTCCCTGGGTGGTTGTGGTGAGGATAAAATGGACTGGAGGAGGACTATCAGCTACCTCGGTTCCTCGCAAGAGGATCTGAGTTTAACGTAGCATCGTGAGGATAAACGTACAAGGTGTGGAAACTGAACAGGCAACAGTTTGAAGAGGCATCTCAACTTGTCCGAAACATTGCAGGAGCCAAGAAACCACCAAATACACATGGCATGGGAAAGGGATGATGCTGGGGGAACGGGGTGGCCATCCAGGGAACCCTGTAATGGTTTGGGGAACTGGGCATACTGGATTTGGCCTCAGGTCCTGTTGCAAAGTATGTTCAGAACTGTCTGAAAATATCTTTTCACCTGACCTTGGTCTACAATAGGAACCTCACCTATTGGTCGAAGTGCTAATGGGCAGAGAGCTGAATTTTATTTCAGTACCGGTGATGGGCAAGTAACCTCTGTGTCTCACTTAGGGGTGTGACACAGGGCAGGTTATGCAGCTATTGGGAACATTCAGCTAAATTCCGGCAGAAAAGAGTGGCTTATGCATCTTTGTGTTATGGTGCCTGCACTCCTTTCTCAAGGAATCACCCAAAAATTCCAAGCCAGGTTGTTGTTGTTGTTGTTATGATTATGATTATGATTATAACATTTCTATGCTGCCCCTTGCTGAAGCCTCGAGGAGGCTTACAACACAATAAGATACATTGAAATACAATAGAACATAATAAATTACCAATAAATACAAAAATACAAAAAATACACTGAGATACAATAATATAAAATTAAAATTAACAGTATAAAATAAATAAAGAATATAGGAGGAGGAAAGAGAAGGAAGAAGAAGTTGCCCTGGCCAGATCATATATTTTAACAATTAAAATGATGTTTAAATAAAAAGGTCTTTACCTGGCGCCGAAAAACCAGTAACGATGGTGCCAGGCGGACCTCTTTGGGGAGTGAATTCCATAGGTTACTGTTTGGCATTTACTGTTTGGGACTTGATGGCTTCCCTAAGGAGCTGCCAGGGCTGTTGTTTTGCTGATCAGTAAGAACTGGTCAGGCTGCCAGGATAACGGCATTGCAAGCACCCTCATTTGCATGCCAAGACTCACAATAATCCCGTGATCGTGATATTAATCTCCTGCAATCCAATGCCATTGCATTGAGCCCCCTCTGCAGACCCCTCACCTTCCTCTGACTGTGTTCCTCTCATTTGGTCATCAACTGCCCAGCTGCTGGGCCCATGTGACTCAGAATCTATAAAACACTCTGTGTCCATTCTAAAAGCTTGTAGTTGGTGGTGGAGACCATTACCTTTTATGTAGCTCTTCCCCAGTGCTCCCAGCTGGTACTTTTCAGGAGGCTGAGAGCTTCAGCAGGGCCTGAGGTGGGTGCTCTGGTTCTGGCCACCAGAGGGAGCTCCAGAGCAGCCCAGATCCGGACAAGAGCCACCCATCAGAAAGGAGAGCGGTGGCCTCAAAGAATTGGGTTTTCTTCCACTCTTTTTTGTCTGTTCTTTTGCGGCAATACAAGGTGGCACCATGGCTTAGCCGTGGCAATAGCAGCATTGCTGGGCTTTGCATTGCCCAAGCTCAGGCAACGCAACCCATTGTGGCTGAACCCAGAGCAAGTGA